TAGTTTTCTATCATATTATAAGTTTGAAAATTTTTAGGAGTTTTTTTCTAAACGGTGAAATTATGTTATATTATTTTTATTCGTGATAGTATATATATATATATAATAAATTTTGCGGCCCGTTATATGGAAGTTTGTAAAACCGTTCCAGATTGTGTACACGTGGAAGTATAATAAAGTTTAAGCAATTCCCAGATTATAAATTTGATCAGTATTATTATTAATATTATTATTGTTGTTGTTATTACTATTTTATTTAATATTATGCCTTTATTCAAAAGGTTGATCATGATATATCTCCATTATTAAAGAAACAGCATAATCCAAAAGTGGAATCAAAGGCCCTTATGTGGATAAAAGAATTATCCCAAAGATTTGATCCCATCCCAATTTTCTTCAATTTTTGACTTTAAATCCAGATATTAGAATAATTTGGATGGAATTCCGATAATGAAATAATATTAATATATATATATTTCTAGACTAGTCAACATCTTAATTTTGGTTTCATCACAATAAATGATTATAAATAGGAAAAATGACATTTTCTTATACGGATTGTTTAAAATGTGATTTTTTCATACGCAAACTTTTAATTTGACAAAAACCTACACCAAATTATCAAATGTGCCAAATTGATAAACGAATTACCCAATTTAACTGCAATTTCCTACACAATCCGAAAACGGTGTTAAATATCCGTTAACCGATAACATGGCGTGCCACGTGGCGTCTGACATGGCATGCCACATGAGAAATTTTGCCATGTCAGCATGCCACATCAAATTTTTAAAAAAATACAAAAAAATCCGAAAAATTAAAAAAAAAATAAAAAACAGATTTAAAAAAACAAAACAGAAAATCCAAAAAAAAAACTGAAAAAAAATAAAATAAAAAAATAAAAATAAAAAGTAAAAAAATACACATATATATTCATATCTATATACAAATACAAATATAAACATACATACTCCTATATATATATATATACTTATATATTTTTTATTATGTATATATATATACCTAGGAATATTTATGTTTATATTTGTATTTGTATGTGGATATATATATATATATATATAGATTATTTTGTATGTATGTATGTACATATATATATGCATATGTATATATATACATACATATATACGTGTATATGTATTATATATATATTATTTTGTATGTATATACATATATATATGCATATGTATATATATATACATATATATGTATATATATATGTGTATATATATAAATATACTTATATGTATGTATGTATATATATTGGTATAAATGCATGTGTATATGTGTATATTTTTTATTTGATATATATAGACATATATATACATAGGAGTATTTATGTTATATATGTATGTGTATATATATAAATATACTTGTATGTATATATATATTGGTATAAATACATGTATATATGTGTATATTTTTTATTTGATATATATAGACATATATATACATTGGAGTATTTATGTTTATATTTGTATTTGTATGTGGATATGAATATATATGTATATATATGTATTTTTTATTTTGTATGTATGTATATATATGTATATGTATATATACATATATATATACGTATATATATATTTATATATGTGTATATGTATATATATAAATATATTTGTTTGTATGTATATGTATATATATTTGTATAGATGTTAGTATATATATACATGTATATGTTTTATTTTGTATATATAGAGATATATTTTTATATAGGAGTATATATATTTATATTTGTATTTGTATATAGAAATGAATATATATGTAGGAGTATATATATATATTTTAAATAGGAATATATAGATTTTTATATAGGAGCATATATATATATATATATTTTCAGTTTTTTTCAGATGTTTTCCGATTTTTTTTTAAAATCTGATGTGGTATTCTGACATGGCAAAATTTTCCATGTGGCATGCCATGTCAGACGCCACGTGGCGTGCCATGTCATCAGTTAACGATTTTTATATAGGAGCATATATATATTTTTTTTCAAATTTTTTCAAATTTTTTCAGATTTTTAAAAAAATCTGATGTGGTATGGTGACATGACAAAATTTTCCATGTGGCATGCCATGTCAGACGCCACGTGGCGTGCCATGTCATCAGTTAACGGACATTTAACACCCAATTCGGATTGTGTAGGAAATTGCAGTTAAATTGGGTAGTTCGTGTATCAATTTGGCACATTTGATAATTTGGTGTAGTTTTTTGTCAAATTAAAAGTTCGTTTAGAAAAAAGTCACATTTTAAACCGTTCGTGTAGAAAAATGTCATTTTCCCATATATTTATAAAAATTGATGAATTATGATAAAATATATGAGAAAATGAGATAATAAGAGATAAATAATAATAAATTTAATTTTTTTGAATTAATATGAAACATATGAAATTATTTAATCTAAAATAATTATATTTTATAAAAATATTATATAAATATAACGAAAAAGTCACATTTTAAATAGTACGTGTAGGAAAATGTCATTTTCCCTTATAAATATGATTAAGTTCAAATTCAAATCCAAATAAAATAAGAGGTGCGCTTTTTTTTTCATAATCACAGTATTCAACGGTATTATTTTGAGATGAAAGAAAACGCAAATTACAAAAAAAAAAATTAGGATAAACTATAAAAATTCCTAAATTTGTAAAAGGGTGAAAAACAACTTACTAAATTTTTTGTCAAGACTAAATTATTTCTAAAATTGTAAATATGCCATTATAATTTCGAAGTTGTCAGAAAAAACCTGATAGTATTTATTCAAAAATCAATTTGAGAATTTAATAACAGATATTATAAATTTGAAAATTCTAAGGATAAATTTTATAAATTTAAAAATAATTTTGTTAGACCAAAAGTTCACTAATTTTTTATTTTACCTGAATCCAAAATGGGTCTAAAATGGGCTTGGAGAATTTGGGTTTAACTAACACACCAAATAGATAAATTCATTGACCGGCCCATGTAAGATATGACAAAAGTTAATTAAAATATTTTTAGCTGTACTATTAATATAAAGCAGAAGAATCTGTAGATCTATTTATAAACAAACTGTACCACATTACATGGACAACCTCCTACATCAATAGGTTTTCGAAACATTACTATATTATATATACATTTATATTTTTATTTAGTTAGTTGTTTTATCAATCAAACTCAAAACTATAATTCAAACTTTCGTTTTATGTTATTTTTGCAAATTATTTTCCTTTTCTACTTTATTTTCGAGTTTTCATCTTGGTCTACGTTGATGATATTGTTATGATCGGGAGCTCTTCTTCTCTTGTCACTCGAGTGATAGCCGATATTGCTGCCCGTTTCTCTATCAAAGATATAGGTGACTTATCCTATTTTCTTGGGATTGAAGCTTCACGAATATCGAAAGGACTATTACTCACTCAAATGAAGTATATATCCGATATTCTAGCTTGAGCTCATATGTCCGAGGACAACCAGTCGCCTCTCCAATGGTGTCTACCTCCCAGCTTTCGACCTTGTCTGGCTCTCCCATTGACAACGTCACCGAGTATTGAGGTTTAGTCGGTAACCTTCAGTATCTCTCTTTCACCCGACCGGATATTCAATTCGCTGTGAATAAGTTGTCTCAATTTATGTATACACATATAGATGAGCACTGGCATGCGATTAAACGTGTTCTCCATTATCTTGTTGGAACGAAGGAGTGTGGTATTTTCTTTGGTGCTCATTCGTCACCGGTACTTCATGCATTCTCGGATGTTGACTAGGCCGGAGACCGCACAGATTTCAAATCTATTGGTGCGTATGTTGTGTTTCTTGGTAGTCATCCTATCTCATGGTCTTCCAAAAAACAATCGAGAGTCTCTCGTTCTTCCACCGAGGTAGAATATCGATCAGTTGCGAATACAGCTGTCGAGGTCAAATGGGTGTCGTCTCTTCTGTCTGAACTTGGATCTCCTCCTTTGATAGCACCGGTTGTCTGTTGTGACAACATTGGGGCTCAGCTCAAACCCGGTGTTTCACTCACGTATGAAACATATTACCCTTGATTATTTCTTTGTTCGAGGCCTTGTTGAATCCGACGATCTTCGTGTTTCTCATGTCTCCTCTTCAGATCAACTTGCAGATACTCTTACTAAGTCTTTACCAAATATCACCTTTCACGATTTTTTTGTCAAGATTGGTCTCATCTCCGGTGTTCCATTTTGAGGGAGATGTATAGAGATATAAGATATGTAAATATTAATTATCATAGCTAATCCTAATACACTTATATAAATACTCTTGTTATTATTAATGAGAATCATCAAGTGCATTATCTTCTATTAGTTCAGTTAAACATTTTGACCTGTGGGTTGATTAGTCCATGCTAAATCATTAAAAGTGGATCCTCAAAGTCAACTAAATGGATCAAACAACTGTGTATGGTAAATTAAAAGAAAAATATTTATCCAAATTATAGATTTATCATCGAATAAAAAAATAATCCAATGTGTAAACTTATTATTAAGTTAAATCCCTTAAAACTGGTTTAAAACTTGATCGTTTATTTTCTCAAATAGTTTACATGCCATAGCAAAACTGAATCAAATTTCATCTAAAATTCTATTGAACATAATTTTATTTAATTTATATTTATTATATTTGAGTTACACAGAAATAAATCAGTTTTAAAAAACATTTTTATAAATAAAAACTAGGTGAAAATAAATAGAAGATAATCAAATCTAAATTGATATAAAAATTGAAGAGATTAATTTTTTCATATCCAAAGAAATCAGAAAATTGGAATCTCACAAAGAAGAACGATTTTCCTTTAATTTATATTTAATTTGCAATGACAAAGGTTGTATTAAGCTTGTAAACAAAAATGCAATATCGTATTAAATAATTTATTAAGTTCATAATCCCTAGCAATAATCTCGCCACGTGTCCCACGAGGCCACATTCGCATTGGCGCACAAACGCGTAGCCTTTTTTTTTTTCTCTCTGTAAAATAAAATGTCGCTTACGCATTCTCATAGATCTCGGCGGCGGCGGAATCCAAATCGAACTTGAAGTCGGCGGTTTCGAAATTCTTAGTCGGAGTCTGACATTTCTCCGATTTTGAGGTCGGGGAAGAACTTTGATTGTCGCCTTTCGTTGAATTTCGGGCGAATCGGTACTGTTTTTTGCTTGTTGATCTCTGAATTGTTGTTTGGTATTCTGGATGTTCAATTTGGTAATGTGAGGTGTGAATCGATCGAGTTGAATGGCTTCGATCCGGCGAACTCTCTCGCCGGCGTATCACGACCGTCCGTACCAGAATGGTGCGGCTCCGTTCTCGCCTCTCTCTGTCTCATCGCCGTCTCACAAGAGCTTTACCAATGGCGGCGGTAACAGTAGCAGTAACAGTAGTAATAGCAAACACAGCTCTTCTCATTTGCTCTCGTTTCTCACCAGATTGACCGGAGCGGTTTTCGTCCCCAAGAGTTCGCGCAGAAGCGCATGGCGGCGTCCGTTTTATCGTTGTATTGTGTTCTTCCTTCTAGGGTTTCTGTTGGGTATGACGCCGTTCGGCGAAGTGAACGACGTTCGCGTCACCGATCGGCTCTCGTTCGAGATCAAACCGCCGTACGATGACGCCCGTTCGGGTGGTGCGAACGGGAGACGTGAAGATTTGGCCATAGATGCTGTGAGTTTTGCCGTGGAGATGAACATGAGGGAGAAGGTCTCGGGGAAGTTCGATTTTGTGCCGAGAAAGCAAATAATTGTGGTGACTCCGACGTACAACCGGGCCATTCAGGCATATTACTTGAACAGAATGGCTCAGACGCTGAGACTGGTGCCGCCTCCATTGCTATGGATAGTTGTGGAGGCCAATGCTGCGTCCTTCGAAACTGCAGAGATACTGAGGAAGACGGGTGTTTTGCATAGACACTTGGTTTGCAAGAAGAACATGACCAATATTAAGGACAGAGGGGTTCATCAGAGAAATACTGCCTTGGAGCACATCGAATTGCACAGACTGGATGGAATTGTCTACTTTGCTGATGATGATAACATATACTCACTTGAGTTGTTTGAAAGCTTGAGACAAATCAGGTATCTAATCAGATTTTCTTGATTATGCCCGCCTGTGATTTATGATTTGGGGTGAGTTGTTTCTTTCTGGTTACCTGGTTATAGGTGTGAAATATGCTTATCTGATTGTTGTTTCGGTTTTACATAGAGCCTGAACCTCAATTTTGACTCAAACTCTGTCCTGGTGCTTCTAGTGTTGTTTGGATCTCGTTTTGTTATTGTTTTTCATAAGGCAAAATTTTGTCATCATAAAGCTGGTAATAACTGCTCTACCCACCTTGTGAATGCATTTGATTGGTCTTGATTGGTGATGTGGAAACTAATAGAGTCTTTGAAGTTTATAGTGCAAAGTCTATGTTTTTGGCCTGTTCATCTCCCATCTGTTTCTTTGAATGTCTTCGACATTTGCTGCTTCCTCTTCTATGTGTTTGTTTTATCTTGTCTGTTTCTCTGAATCTCCCTTGTCTCTATGTTATATTGCTCTCTCATGCATTTGCATATGTTTTTTCTTTCAGTTTTGTTTCCTACAGTGGAATTATTTGAAGGCCCGACATTCATATTTTATTACACTCGTGTGTATTAATCCAGTTTATTGATTTGCTTTTTACCCTGTCTTATAGCCGATTTGGTACTTGGCCCGTTGCTATGCTTGCGCCAAGCAAAAATAAGGCCATCCTCGAGGGTCCAGTATGCAATGGAAGTCAAGTAATTGGATGGCACACAAATGAGAAGAGTAAAAGACTACGGAGATTCCATGTAGATATGTCCGGGTTTGCTTTCAACAGCACAATACTCTGGGACCCAAAAAGATGGCGACGGCCCTTTTCGAACCCTATCCGTCAGTTAGACAGTGTTAAGGAGGGCTTTCAAGTATGTTTTGAGCTTTCTGTCCTTTTCTTGCGTATCCCTAAACACGAGACTGAAGTGTTGGTTCTGTGTCTTGACATTGTTTGTCTTTTTCGAGCAGGAAACAACGTTTATAGAGCAAGTGGTGGAAGACGAAAGTCAGATGGAAGGAGTTCCGTCCGATTGCTCGAAGATACTAAACTGGCATCTCCACTTGGATGCTCGGAATGTTCCTTATCCACAAGGTTGGGTAATCCCGAAAAACCTTGAAGCTGTCTTCTCTGTGAAGTAACGTTTTGAAAAACGCCTTTTGACGGGTAAGACACTACAGATCCCTCTGAATTTTACCAGAAATTCCACGGGAAACATGGAACGAACTCTTGACTTCATGTTTTTACAGGTGCGTACCCAGCCATATATATCTTCATGGTGTGACAAAAAAAAAGCATCAATCAACTGCATATAACAACAAACAAACTCTTTGCTTGCTGATGAACTTATCAAGGGATCATATATGAGAGGTGTGATTACCCCTTCGAAAATCTCTCTCGTTGAAGTACAACTGTTCATCTTTGATCTCTCTTTGCCTTTCGTTTTGGGTTCACGGGTGTGGAGGGAGGCCTAAAGATAGAGGGTGAAGAGAGGAAACAGAACACAAGTTTTGGTTTTGGTTGGATCCATTGATTTTGTTCCAAAGAAAATGTCAGTTGGATTTGATTTAAGTCCCAATAGTAACAGTGTTGCTTGCTTTCATCATCTGGAGGTGTGTTTTAGTTTCAGATTTAGTTTTTGTCGGTTCAAAGAAAAAAACTATAATCATTTGTCCTTATATTGGACCGATTCGTTCGGTCTTTGTTCCGGAGTTGATCCAAATTGAATACTTATTTATAAAGATACTCATTTTAAAAAAAAATATATATAAATTCACGTTACCGTGAACAAAATGCCCTCAAATATTGAAAAAAAACATAATTGTTACGATTATTAAGCCCTAGGTGCCGTAGCCACCACCAGACTACTCCCAGAAGATCAATCAAACAGTTCGTTCGTTCATACATACCATTTCGGCAGAAAGTTTCATATGATAATACATAATTATATTATATATACACACACAAACACATGAAAGAAAAATTACATCCATCAACAGAACCAATGGAGGTTGGGGCCGGCCCCCGAGCGATCGCTTGATGGCGCCGATTCCGCTCTCGGAGACTGGCATCATGTGTTACGACGACTAGAGTTTCTTCATCTCCCTCACCCAAAAAAACACAAAAAACCGCCTTTTTTTGTGTGATCGGCAATCACTGAAGGGACTATGAACGACGTGGCTTCAAGAAACTCAGGAAAATGATTACGTTAACGTTGCTCCATGAATTGAAGAACTCGCATCCGACGGGTGCAATGGCTGATCGTACAGAGGTTGCAAATCTTGCTCACTTGGCATCCCGAGAACCACGAGAGTTGAACTGATAAAAACAGGCACAGAAAACCTCGCTTACAAACCATGGTGAAACTGTTTTGTTTCTGAAAAATTTTATTCATAAACAATGAATGCATGGTTGATCCTAGGAGATGACCATTTCGCGTTTCAATCAGGTTATTTCAGTTTTAAGAATCCATAACCATTTGTTTTTTTATATTAAATTCAGTTAAGATTTGGTTCGGTTCCGTTTCAGCTTTTATTGATAAAATACTCCTTTTTCAAAGCCATTTTCGGTTATTTTTTTATCCGCTATGTTCGGTATCTTCAGTTTTAGAGAAATAATAATTATTTGGTTTTTAAATCAAATTCGGATCGGTTAAGATTATATATTCGGTTCAGTTACTCGGTTATTAACCAAATTGGCCATCCTAATTGATCAGTTAGGACAAAACATAACACAAGCTCAGAAAGGTTTGTACCTGGGTAAAGAAGCTTTAACAGTTGGCTTGTTCGCGTAAACAGCTAGAGAAGGTTTGAGGTTTGGATATTTGGCCAGTGTATTCTCCAGTTGTGTCGGCGGTAACTGCAAAATAAACAAAGACGGGTTTCTCGTGTTTAACCGAATGATACTATAATTATACTATTTCGCAGGCAAACCCGCAAAAAAAACATTATATGGCTAAGGTGTTTTTGGAGCACCTTTAACAAAACAGGGTAAGAATGTGGCTGTGTCTGAGAGACGCATTTCACGAACCCGACCCATAACTTTGGCAATTTCCAGATCTGCGCTTCAAAGAAGACATGAAAGGGGTACAGAAAAGACGATTACCTGACGATAATCTGATAGCCAAATAGAGATCTTGGATTTGGAAGATTCTTGCGTGTTGTTCTTAAAAACCAGACACTACTCACCTGCTTACTGACCAGCTTGGAGAGGATTTCCATGACAAAATCAACCTGAAACAAAGATTCGAAAACCCTATTTGACTCCGACCCAAACAATACAAACTGTTACACATAAGCTTACATAAATACACAAGCTCCATTATGTCCTTAAAATTGTCCAATCATTTCAAGTATCCCAAAGGACCCTCTTCACTGTTTATGTAAAGAAAACCAATTCTAGATTACATTATTTGTGGTTGTCCTTGTGTCTGAACTTGTAAATCAAACTAGGGGAGCAGAACCCCTTACCAGTTTTGGAAAAGCATCGATTGCCTGAATTACTGTCCTCATGAAGAGTAGCGGAAGAGGAGTTTGATCAACCTGTATCGAAAAATAAAATAAAATCATCGAATGTAGATACTACACTACAGTCGTTGCTCGTTATTTATACGGCGGTGTTGTCAATATTACCATTTGGCTGAGGGCCTTTGCCAAGACTTGCTGTGTGAAAACAGTGCGTTGTTCAAAGCAAGCCGAGCATGCATCTGTTATCTGATAAACCAAGAACATAGTTCAACAAACCAGAAAGAATTAACAAAAGCTCCAACAGATATGCAGATTTTTACTAAATGATCAATGGACAACCACTCAAATTGAGTCAACGCATGGATAATAAACTTAAATATAATAGAGGTGGATGTTTCGCATTAATCAGATTCATTAGACTAGGAAGGGGCCAGGAGAACAATTGATCATTTCAGAAATTGTAGGGTAGACGTTATAAAGAAGACATCAGGTAGAAGATGGCACTGAAAGAGAGCAAATTTAAAACATGGAACGCAGTCTAGTACCAGAATAGATCTAAAGCAACCAAGAGCAGAGCAAAGACTCCTTCCAAAAGTAATTTCAACCAGGATGAAACACTAGCAGATACCTTCTTGAGTGGGGGACCATCCTTTTCAGGAACAATGCCATGAATAGCAATCAGTACTTCTGCAGGCGTTAGGGCTGGACCCGTGTGAGCAGAACCCTGCGATGAATAGAAAAAAGGGGGCTCTCACAAGATCATGACATTCCAAGAAGAAAGCACTCAATCCATAAGAATAAGCACACTACCTATCAGCCAAATATCACCCAACGAATTTTAAACAAGAAACAAAAAGCAACACAGGATGAAACTGTCCATATGAAGCATTGTTCCAGTGTATCCAAAATGCTTATCCCCTGTGCTCTGTACTAAACCTGAATGTTCTTTATTAATCTAAAACGCAGAACAAGTTATTCATATTTAAAAAACACGATTGAACTCTATTGTCACCAGACTTGTCTACACTTGGAAGCTGTCACATGGAAATGACAGATGCATATGCTCAACTAAGTACATACAAAGTGGATGTACACCAGACACCAATCTCATTGCATGACAGACAACACCAATGAGCATATCCAGGAACAACCACCAAAATTAGATGAACGAAGACCATTTACACATACCTGCAATATGTGAGCAAGTGCCATTTGGAACTTATCCAGTGGCAGATTAACGAGCCGAGGAAAGATAGGCAAAACCTGATACAGTGAAAAACAATTACCATGGCCCAGTAAGCGATTGGTGATCAATTGAAAATAACTTTGGAATTCCGCATCAACCAATTACATAGTTTTCCAAAACATTTCATGGTTAAAGGTGATGTCTTAACAGTATGACTTGTATCTTAAATACATGTTTTCAATTTATTGTGATAATTGCCTTCTCTGATCAGCATGTTCAGTGAATGTAATTTTAATTGTCCTTTCCTTGATTGATTTCTTCCCTACTCTACAGTTTTTATTCATTTCAACGCATTCAGACAGGAAACTATAAAGGCGAAAAGGAAAAAAATGCTACACGCAATTCTGAATCCTCTCTACAGGAGAAATCAAATGAGAATGAAGAGAATAATTCATGAATATATTAGGTAGAAGAAAGTAAAATTAGAAATGAACCTCATCTTTCGAGAGCGAAGACAACAATGGAATAAGAATGGAAACGTCCTGCACAGAACAAATTTAATATAAGGCAATGAAAACTCAGTTTCCATTTTTATCATTACATATAATAAGAAATTGAGTACAAATCTTTCCGTAACAAGTCAAACCTTTAGTTTAGTTTCATATAGATGCTTTACAGTAGCAATCAAATCTGGCGGGGGCAATGTTTCTTGTGTCAATACTTGCAGTACCTAGAAATCAAAGAATAATTTAGCGCAATTAAAAAATAATTGGGAAACATTTTGAGGATAAAGAGAAATACAACAAGAATATGTAGGAGCATACCAATGTCAACAAATTTTCACTTCCTGCAGGAGGATCAGATACTATTTGGAGCAGCTCAGAATAAGATGAACCCAGTGCCCGTATCAGAATAGGAATATGTCGGTGAAACGCCTGAACAAATCCAGAAAATCACTAAAAATCAATTTGGTGTTTGTGGGCAACATTTTTTTCCCAGTAAAACTTACCAAGAGAAAAGTTTAAAGAACAGACTGACTTAATAGACCAAAGAAATTTTAAAATGTCCAACATACATTGTATTACTGTGCCATGCGGGCTGCAACCTGGTGAAAGGGGGAGTTGACTCACCTGTTTTACTGGTTTTGGAGCTCGTCCATAAACTTCAAAGACGAGGTGAAGGAGACTAGGTTTCTGGACAAAGTTATTATCTTTGTTAGCTCAGTGAGAATATGTAGAGTGAGAGAATACTGTGAATTTAGAAGCACTTCAAAAAATTCTCACTGACCTTTTTACATAAAGCAAAAAACAAAGAAGTTAGTCTCTGAGCTTCAGGAAATGACATAGCAGAAACATCAAGAGAAGGTTGTGAATCCTTTTGAGAGCCAACATCAGATGTTCCAGAGCTTATAACCTGAGAGGTACTCGTGGATGTTCTCTGGTTTTCAACCTGGAAAAAGATTTTGTAAAAGAAGCAGCCCTTAAGAAGTCAATTCCATAAAAGGAAGAAAGCCTTTGCGATCAATTAGCCAGAGTGCCCATGTGAAAATTTAGAGGGCCACAAAAACAAGTTTAAAATAAAACAAAAAGACATTGAACAGATGAAGAAAAGTAGCAAGCGAAATCCTTTAACACACAGATCATTGAAAAATTGGTGTCCTTCTAGAGGTAGCATTCTTCAGCTTTGGAATTCTTCTGCCTTTGCAAGTCTGATTCTTATTATCCAACCAGACTATATTATATGCTATTACCTCTGTTTCAACTCTCTGTGGAACAACTCCAGCTTGTGAGAAATCTGTCTCAGAATTTACAGCAGTAAGCAACATATCTGTTGCAAATTGCTCAATATGTTGCGATACATATGTCAAGTGATAGAGTTTGTTTGTGACCTGTGCATACAAATCAGACAGAGACATAAGAGAACACCATATCAACAGTATTGAAAACCATAAATCTGATCTTCAATAGAGATACTCACAAGTCGGATAGCTTTTGCTCGTATGTCATCTTCAGAATGAACAGAGGACTGCCATCACAAGTTTATAACATCCATGAGAAAAACGGACAGGTGAGAAAAAACCATAAAAACACGAAGTTACAAAACGAAAAACATAAACATTAAACAGAATGTTTTGAGCACATCATGCTCTGAAAACTAGAAATTATAAGTCCAGTTCTTTCAAGTATATAAACCGCACAGAAATCTGTTTCATTTGATCAAACGCCTACTGCAGCCAGATGACAAAGTGTTAATGCAACCTAACTTTCATATTTTCTCTTGCAGACATCTAATATTCAAATTCAAATTCTCAACATTTAGTCTGTCTAATTGTTAGTTTGAGCACCTGTCTTGATGCCAAGCAGTAACTTATGACAGGCCACAGGTAATCTAGTACATGAGAATGCACAGTCAATTGAACCAGCCAAACAATCCCCACAGCGGACAGCCTAACTTGGCCAAGTTCTAGCAATGGGTTAACGTGTTTAGAATCTTTAGATGCTTTGAATTAATAGTCAATAGGAGGCATCCAGAGAGTATCTCTATTGGCAAAATTTAGACAAACAAGTATGACAAATGAGCAATCTAGCTACTCTTTATGCTGTTGCTACCCAAACATTCCTCCATCATCTAGTCAAGAAATATAATAAGATGGAAATCATAATTAGATTCTCACCTTCAAAGCTATAGCTAAGCATGCTTGTCGTTCATTTGGACGCCCTATAACTAAACTCCATACAGCACCAAGCCCTTGGGTGACACGCTCACTATCACGGACTTCTCTTCCATTTGGGTCAAGATCAGAGGAAGAGCAGAGATCATCCAATAGCTTTATGGCTGAATCAGGTAAATGGGGAGCTTCTCCAAAAAGTCTGCTGAAAGACTTGTCTGAAGCAGGGAGAACATCCAACAACGACCGTGCCTATAATTTTAAGTATCTTAGTAAGCAAGATTTCAGACACAAAAAATTTGGAACACAGATTGGAAAGATGCTTACCACAGCTATGAGAAAAGTTTCATAAACAGTAGAACAGGTAGGGGATTCATCTGTGTCCAGCATTGCTGTAGAATGCAGATGGTACAGAACATGTAACACAAGTTCGTGCCCCTGCAGAAAAAAAAGAAGGCAAAAGATCAAGGATTTGGCAAATCTAGACACAAGTATAGATTCTCCACCTCACAAAAAGAAGGGAAAATATGTAAATGCAGACACGTGTGCAAAAAATTTAACATTTCAACAGTGATAGGCTAGCATTTTCACAAGGCTAAAGTATTTATGCCAGCATAGACCAACTCTCCACATAAGGGGGAACCACTTAGCAGTAATGCAATACCATATGTTCTCGATAATCCACAAGAATGTGCTCTCTGAGCACTGCTGCAACATCGTCACCAGCATCAATCTGAATACAGAAAATAACGACCGAATTTAAGAATACATGTAATAGAAGAAACCAAGGAACAGCTCGAGATAAGGATCATGTGGTGTAAACTCAAAAGATGAAACAATGCCACCAGTCTCTAAAAATTGACAAGAAGGCCACCACAACACAAGCACCAGATGAGACGTTCACCTTTGCAATCAACCGCGCAAGCAACGCCATTCGAATCTTGTTAGAGTCCAGCCCAGACACGTGCCTATGTGATCTAATTATACGTTCAATAGCCAACTTCCCTATAGTTCTGCATTGCTCTATGGTTAGCTCAACATATGATGGAACAGATGGCAATTCTCGGTAGGTGTCCTCCGAGGCAGTTATGTTTGATGTGGAAGGAGAGTGCTGATCAAACTCTAATGGAGATGCCGAATCCAAATCGTACTTTGCTTCAGCACCTGAACACTCTGTTTCCCTGATATCATCATCAACCCGGCAAGGAGAAAGTTGAATATCAGAAGATGCTTTGTCCTTACGGAAACCTACACCATCTTTGGGAGCAGCCAAGTCATCCTCACTGCCATCAAGCTGATTGATTCCGGGGACTTCCGGACTCTCCATAAGTTTATTATCACTTCGAACACCTGTCATTCTGTGTGCTGGACCTCTTGCATCTTCTGTCAAAATGGGAGCCAAGAGGGACTTATTTGGTAAGGCAGAGACATCAATCTCCGGTGAAACTGAGTCTTTTCCCTCAGAAACAGGTAGTGATGCTTGTATGACCAATGCATTTGCACGCCTTGGATCCAGGCGGCGAGGATCCTGCAACAGTTTGTGTAACTATTCCGGAGAAAGAACATATAGCATACAAACAAACAACAAGTGCAAGAATTTTGTTACCCTTCTTGGATCACGTCTAGATTCTACAACCATATTATTCGAGCTAGGCACCTCAGTCGATGATGATCCTCCAGCAACATGTGAAGGTAAAGGAAGTTGTGTTTGCAAAGCTGGAGAAGGCATGGAATTTTTAAGAGAAGGGGATGATGAAATCTCAGCTGGATTACCCAGTGAACCAGTAGACTGATTTTGAGGTACATTTGAAAGCTTTGTCAATGGAGCGGGATTCTTAGGCAAGTGCTTCATGTTGGTTATTACAATGTCCGCAAGCATATCTGGATGGAGCTTAGAAATGAGAATTTCAAGTGATTCAGCTCCTCTGTCTCCTTCCGCAAGCAAAGCACCAATCATTGCAACCATTTGTTCAACTGGAGTCAAATCACCATCCGAATTACGACCACCAGAGGAAATGCCATTGACAGCCACAGAGTCCAGAGGAGAATCACTAGATAGAACTTGCGGAATTGAATGCCTGCTAGGATTGTAGCATACACGCTTGGAAGCAACCTCTCCGTTAGGTGCATCCTCATCATCCTGAGGCATTATTCGTTTCATTGACAGATCCCAAGAAAGATTTTGATGATTCATCACCTGGTTAGTCTGGAAATTAGGTTCAATATGAGATTTAGTGAACAATGGGAGAGATAATGAACATAATTGACTTAGCACTACAGCAGACCTGGAAAGAAGAAGGGCATTTTACCTTGCCTGACCAATTTTCCCGTGCAGCACGTTCATTATTTCTAATCATTTTATCAGCTTGACGGATTGCTTGTTCAGCAGCATCCGCAGCATTCATCGCACATAAAGCTCTTAGGAGCTTGTCCCTCGACTGCAAGTACAAATGAAAACAAATCATCAGTAACCAGACAGTGTAAAAAAGGAAAGATCGCATGATACTCGTCATCTTGTATCTAAAGGAGCAAAGATACATATGGTACGTTGTTTGATAATATTAAAAACGATATTCAGCAAAAACATACTGGAATTTGATAGTGATTGACGAATGACCATATAAAAGCATTTCAAAAGGAAAAAACACAACAAAGTATATAAACTCTACCTCTACAGTGGGTGAAATAGTACATCTAAGAAATCCCAGAAAGGCAGTTCTAATTGAATACTGGACGCTTGCAGCATGGCATCCCTTCGTAGCTTCAAGATTTGGGTGGAAATCCAGCAACGCAGAAAGAACAGTATTGTAATGTACAGGCCTCTTCTTTGCTACTGCTGCAAGACTGTCAAACACAGATTACAGTCAGACAATAAACAGAAATTCAGGTGTTTCTTCTGCGGAGCCCAAAGTCTAAATGTAGCGATTTTGCAACCTAGAAAACATAAAACAGGAAACATCGAATCATCCAAAAAAACACACACAGTTGAAACATTTTAATAATACAACATAACACAGAAAAGGATAGAATGTTTTAACTAAGTTCAACCCACATACACAAAAGGATAGAATGTTTAAACATAGCAGAACAAACAATTTGATGAAAATATCAAAGAGAAGAAACGATGAACTATAACAAACAACAATTCAGCAGAAAAACATTTCATCTTATCAAAATGTCATCATCAACATCATCATCAACATGTCGGCAGCAAAACATTCTCAGCAAAGCTAGCAGATGTTTAAGATACTCCACCAAAAGTAGAACTGATATTCCTGTAAAACATTTGAGGCGGGGGTTCCCATATAACAAACCTGCAAATGATTACTCTTTATACAGGCAAGGCATCTAAGGTGGTTCGACCTATAACTAACAGTTGACCACAAAACCAAACCAAACACATAACCATTATGAACACATGAAATGAAGGACAATACTAAATGTTCACCTTGGAATCCCTTTGATGCATCACATACTCTCTCTCTCTCTATCTATCTATCTATCTATCTATCTATATATATAGATACATATATATATATATATATATATATCATTGAGCAAGATAAGTTGTACATATATATGTCATTGAGTAAGATAACTTGTACTTGCACTGCAGAAAACATGTCTCAGAGGCAGACATATTCTTCAGAGAACCAAATTAATGCTCAAAACTTCCACCCACCCAACTTGTTCGAAACAAGGGAAGTATCAATGGGCCTTACAAGAAAAAGCCATTCCGAGATTTCGACAACTTCCATAAATTTCATGAAAAATTGAACTTAATGATTAAAAGCTGCATTAGCTATCCCCAAGATAGGAAAGGCCAGGATCATTTACCCCAAGAACTTAAATAGCTTATGCTGCATGAGAAACAAAACAGTCTGATGGATATAGGGGGAAAAACCTAATCCTCGTGGCAGTATCCAATTATCAGAGCAAGGACCATTTTGCAAACAAACCATGCTTGGACTACCCTATCAATCAATAACTAAAGTAACACAAGGAAGTTCTCAAACTCTACAGCTCTAGACAATCTTTCAAACACTTTATCTGAGATATTGTAAAATCAGATCTTTCCATGTGAAATATAGTATAATGACATATCAGATGGCCTACAAGAACAAGAATACAATGAAAATGTATCGAGCCTGACTCAGTAGAAACATAAAAGGGAACAATCCAACAACTACTCTCAGCACATATAAGGTTTCTTGGAAGTTCTTTATGATCATCCATTGTATCTGCTAAACTAATTACAACAGTTTTCAAGCTTTTGTCTAACTTATGAAATTAATGTTCTCTATCCAGATATTTCCCACAATCAAACTTAAAGTTGCTCTCAGAGAGATTCTACACCTCTTGCTTCTGAACCATCAAAGATATGACACCTACTTGACATGATAGCCTAGAATAAGTTCACCATGAGAAAAACATAATTTCAGCCAGTATCTTACGAAACCGCAATCATCATGTCAGTCATTATCAACCATGCCAACATATCCTGCTACTTGCCTGTAAGCGAAATAAACATTCATCAAAAACAGTAGGGATATCTATCATACAAGAAAATTATGCCAATCTCCAGCAGAAAGAGAATTATTATTGCCCAAAAGATATTCAATTATGCATTAACTGTTATAGTGTAATGTATACATTTAATAGCCCAAACATAACAGCTGCCAATACGTACAGCCAGTGCAAATATCCAGATAAAAGATTTCTCCGGTAGGATTTCACGTTACTTGACAACCACATTTCTCACTATGAGAGTTGACAGCTGTGTCCATTGTTTGGTGTTCCTATCACTTGGAAATGAAGCTCCATAGCATCCCAAACAAGGCCAGCAGTGAATAGCCTTGTAACTGTCAAAATGTGATCATTGATGCAGCTTCAACCGAGCCATTAATCCCTCAGGATAGTTTTGTTCGGTTTGCTGCAATTCTATCATAGGAGATGAACTGGAACTAAAACCTGTATCCACGATTAAGTTCTCCTTCCAACAGTTTAGTAGACACATAGAGAGGGGAAGTAGCAGTTTATTCTGCCAACATAATTACTTTTAACAAAGCTGTGAGCCTATGTCAATAAAGTAACGATGAATTTGGGACATGACAAAAGTCCAAGCACTCAAACACTACATTATCTCTCCAATAGATCACTTTACGAGGCGATCATAATGTTCTCTGAGAAAAACAAATACTAGTGTTTGCACTACATCACCCAATCAATTTGATCCAATACTGATCCATTTACAATGCAAGGATAGATTATCCTTAATAAAGTAATTAGAATAGAACTTTTTGTATTCCTGAGTCTTTTTACAATTTTAGGAATCACCAATGCAAAGTTAATGGATCAGCCAGCACACTGAAAAACATTGCACAATAAGAAACTAAAACTGCAATTAAAAACGTAACTCCAAGAAAATTCAGACAATAAAAGAATATACAGAAGAGGATAAATGGGATGTAGGCAAAAACATACCAACTAACAACAGTTGTTGTCAATGCACCCGGAAGATGACCAGCTGACTGTAACAAATCTAATAAAACGCCAACTGTCCTATTTGCATCTGACACAAGAATTGATGGATTCAGAATGGGGTGGCCACCAGAAAGCCAGGAAATGTTGAACCTCCGCTGGCCTCCTGTCACAGAATAAGAAAAAGTTGATATGCTACAGTTATTAAGAAAATAAAAAGTAAAAAAGTGTGAAGAAATAAGTTAGAGCAATTCCAAAATCAGAGTACAACCGTATCAAATTAGTAATTGATTTAGAATAAGATACCTTCATTAGAAAGTTTCTCAGAATCAGAAGCTTCAGGAGTAAAAAGTAAAACAAACGTCTCCATAAATTTTAGCGCCAAAACCTTCACTCCCACAGAACCAGGCTACAATAATAGGTACAGAATTACTCATATCAGAAAACCTTTAAGATAACAGAGAAACAAAACATGATTTGTTAAACAAAGGACCTGAAACCAAAAGTTGAAACAGGGAGAATAGAAAGAGACAGCAAGTATACCTCAAATATAATAGCAACGGCAGTTTCTTTGAACTTAACCAGCCACGTCCATAGTTCTCTCGCCCACCGCTCAACATTACCGCGATGAATAAACTGTAAAGATCGTCAATAATATAATGCAGCACCATGTATAAAAGGCCTACTCAATAGCTGTTTTTGCTTCTGTTTTCTAATTTATACACTAGGTCAATCTGTTTGGCTCTATTGAAAAGATACGCTTGCTACTGATTTAGAGCCCTTAATGTGTTATACTTCCCTAAAACATGGAGACAAGAACCAACACGGATCACGGAATTGAATACCCTTTACCCCTACCCCACCAAAATAATCCAAAATGTTCAAATGTACTACCAAATATTATAAGACCATCATATGCAAAACAGATTTTCTAAAAGAACCTGTGGAAAGGATCAAGTCCTCAAGTGACCAAGGTTCAAGCAAATGTATTTATCAATAGGAAAATGTTTCCATGCGTAAGCACCAACACATGCATTATATTGTTAATTGTCAAGAGCTCACATAAATGTGCCAGAAGAAATAGATTGTGTATGCCATCTAAAAGAACAAATGTGCATGCCACATCAAACTTGAGAAAGGGTACAGACCTGCAATGCCATCTCCTCCACCACGCTGCAAAAGAATTTCGTGCCAGAAGAAATAGATTGCTTCGCTACAACGGGATCATTGTCCCTTAACAATGCTAGCAACACACCCACTAGAACATAAGAGTGTTCCATCATCCTCAAACCAACCTTCTCAATAATCCTGCCATCCAAAGGAAAGAATCAACTAATCTTCTACCACAACAGACAGGTAATCACCATTAATAGCTAATTAGGTATTAAGCAAGTTGGTGAAATAACAAAAAAATAGGGTCGTCGACTATGCTCTTGACAGCCATTACGCTTACAGACAATTAGGTTTTAGCATAGGTATCTGGATACAACACACAATTCTGAGGAAGCTTCGAATTTATCCCACAGAGAATGGAAAAGCACACAAAATTAGCGGATATTCTGCTATAATTTTACAACGACGTAACAAGCGGAACACAAGAACAAAGCAAAACTCACTACGAAAGGCGTAGAATTCCACTCACTCGATAAGCGATTTACGGACAAGAGGTTCACGCGACGACTGGAGCTCCGCAAGATAAGGGAAAAGCTCGGCGGAAAGAGACGGGTCCACTAACAACAAAATCTCCTTCACCTGTCGGAGAGAGGAGAGCTTCACCGCCAAATCGCCGTGGTTATTGGCCGCAGCGAGGAGAGAGAGGGCCTGGTCCCTCAAAGCCGAAGCCGCCATTGCTGAATTAGGGATTCCGACAGGCGAAACCGTGTCGGAGAACACACAAGGCTTCGAGGAGTGGGCGAAACTCTGTGTTAGGGTTTTGATGGGTTGAAGACGTCGCTGCAACACAGAAACATCACACGAAATCCAAGCACAGGAATTTGGTTCCTCATTTTTTTTATTTATTTTTTGCTAAATCTCATTAAAATCTCTAAAACAAATGTGGGAAAACTAATTACTAAGGTGACAAATAAATTCTGCAATTTGAAAAAATAAAGTGTTATTTGTCAAAAGGTACCAGATTAGCCCTTGTTTACCGTAAGTAACATTCCCCGGGCTCCTACCACGTGTAATTTTAATGTCGCATCAGCACATTTCAAAACTTACTACGTGGTTTACGACCTATTATTTCAATTTATAAAATAATGGAAAATTTAGTTTCTAAATATTTACCGTGACAAATAATTCATTCGACTTGAAAAAACTATCATTATAAATCTTTAGTTTGGCATATAGAAATAATAATAAATATATATTTTTCAAATTTGATAAGATTTTCACTATACAATATATCTCGTAATATTCTTCAAAATCCAATATATCCCAACATTCCCATTAGATTGAAGCGTAGAAATCATGAAATGTCAAATTTATAGAAAAATGATCAAACACATACCGCTTAAAGATAGAAAATATAATTGGAAAAAATTTAAACAAACGATTACTCTGCAACTTTGGCAATACGCACAAAAGAATCGTTCGATGATAACAAAAAAATGACAATTGTGGTGCCATAAAGGAGTCTCAGAAATAACTCTGATTTATCCGAGATTGAAAGGCAACTACGCGAAATCGTTTAGTGACAACAAATTTTTTACAAGAATAAGATGATTGGCGGTTATGCGAATAATCTTTAGAAACGTGTAGGATTATGAGATAAAAAAACAAACACAATGACTTTCTTATTCTTAAAAAAATATTCAAAATGATATTACCACTAGATCGGTATATCATCTTCACTCTCATTATCAATCATCATTTTTATGAAAAGAATAACAAATTAAAAAAGAATCAGAAGCTCTGATACCATATAGAAATTTGCGAAATGATATTTTTATTGATAAGAAAAATAACATATAAATAGATGATAGTCTTACATTGAATAAATAAAATAGACGTAATAATAAATATTTCTAAATATATACATTCCGGATGATAAGATCTCCATTATACGATATATCTCGTAATATTTTTCAAGATCCGATATATCTCAACATACCAAATGATATAGAATTAAATATTGACTAACATTGGCCGTAAAATCCGTGAAATGGCATCTCATATGGTAAATTAATTTCTAAATATTTACCATGACAAATAAATTATACCACAATCTTATTCCAGTGACATGTAAAAAGATTTGGAATCCACAAAATAACATCCCATGTTGACATGAAATGCATTTTCTTGTGAACGGAAAGACTTTTTCAAAAGCTATATAAATCCAAAAAAATAATGAATTTTTTTTTGGTTAAATAAAAACAACGAATGGTAAAAAAAGTCTTTTGATTCAAAGGAGAACGATCTACAATAAAATGACCTACATGATTAGTTTTTAAAATTTTTCTCAATAAACCGAATTAATGATCTAAAATTTACGGCTTCGTTATTTAAATTTTTTTGAAATCTTACATAATACTGAAATAAAACGTGACATCTCACGTTAGATGTCATTTAACGGAGTTTATGTCCAACATTTAATCTGACATTGTTTTTCAAGTTAAAGAATTTATAATAACATTTTTTTCAAATTGAAGAATTTATTTGTCATTATAAATGTTTAGGAATTAGTTTTCTATTATTATATAAATAACACGTAAATTTTGAAATCTATTAATGTGATACTGAAATATAGCACGTGGTAAACAACGTGGGATATCATTAACAGAGTTTATATGATCAATATTTATTTCAGAATTTATAAGGATACTTTTTCAAATTGAGAAATTTATTTATCATTGTAAATGTTTATAAAATAGTTTTTCATCATTTTACAAGTTGAAAATTTTTATGAGATTTTTTTAAATTTTGAAATCTATTTCAGTGATACTGAAATATATGATCTTAGACGGATGTATCAAAAAACTCAAAAAAAAAAAAGATTAGATTGTTCATTCCCCTAAATTCTCGGTTTTGTGCACACAAGTGGAGAGTTATAGAAAAAAAATTATAACTTAAATTCAAATTATGTGATTCCAATTGGAAATGACGTAAATCATGGTTCAATCATTAGAACATATATTGAGTAGGTTGTCTTGTCAATTCATAACTTTTGATTGAAGGATCTGATTGTTTTACCGCTTGAAGATTTTTAAACTAACACCCGAGCGCATGGATATCAAATACATAATTTTTTGTGAAGGTTGTTGATTTAGATGCTCTAGAATAATCTATGATATGATGTAACCAAATACTTTGTATTGATTTATTGGTTAAATACATTGCATTTTTGTTACATGATTTGCATATTTATTATATATCAAATTCTTTGAATCATTTGAGAATGATTTTAGACTCGCTAGTCACTTATCATTGTGAGAATGGTGACGAAATAAGACTATCGTGATGCATGATATATGATCATGAAGATGATCATTGGATATGTATCACGATCATAAGTATTTGCTTGGAACAAAGTTGTTGAATGATCTAAATGAGATTATCACATGGACATAAGTAATGATTTGAATCTCATATTTTGATTCACTTTGGATCCTTGTCCTGAGATATCTATAGTATCCGGCGTGAGGAGTAACATACTCTGACTTAATTAATCAAACATCTTTAGTCGAATGATTATAACGACAGTGATCGGGTACGGTATAAATCACGTGGAGAATAAGGATAGTTAAGATAAAATTTATCCCTTTCAAACAAGAGAGATATTGTTGGACGTTTTGGGTAATTCGAAATGTGAAAATGCATGGTCATGCTATAGATGAGTGTAATCTATTACTTTCAATCGATTTAACGGACGAAAAAAACAATTGCACTTGATACGATGATTGTTTTTGTGTCATATGTTCAACATGTGATAACATGAGACAAAATGATTAAAGTTTTGCATATAGTTAGATCACATTTTGCTCAATTCAAAATGGGTAGTCATAGCATTTTGTTAGAGGCTAGCTATGATTTGTAGAGCGAAATGAGATTTCGGGTTACTACTATTGCGAATGAGATATAGGTCCACACACAAGAGAATTGGACACTTAAACATGTGCATTTTGAGTTTCAGAACTCAACATGGTCATATAAAGGGTTACATGAGTCGCGTTAAGATTTTGAGCAAAAGTTAAAATTTTGCTCAAAAAACTGACACGAATCGTATCAAGTTGAACCATGTCGTACCAATTGCTCAGACATTTAACACAGATCATGTCAAGTTGAATAGGTCGTGCCACTTGCTTAAAGATTTGGTATGGGTCATGTCAAATGTGATAGGGTCGTGTCATTTCACGTAAAAAAAAAAACAGAATTCATTAAAATTGGTGTTTTTGGAGGCTATTAAGAGGGTGTTTCGTGGCACAAAATATAAGAGACGGTTTTTATAGGTTTTTTAGTCGTTTTGTGCTTTGAAACAAACCCTAGTCTCCATAGAAGAATTGTGACAATTTGATTCTCTTTGTTTTATCAAACAAGATTCAATACATTTGGATTTCAACCCAAATGTGTATACTTGCAGATGGAATTGTGCTTTCAATTCCAAGGTGATTGGATTAAATAGACTCGAAATCATAGTAACTTTGAATCCCTAAGATTCAAGAGGTTAGTAGTTCTTCCTATGAAAACTTGCACATTTTAGATTGTTTAGGGTTTTTGCATTTTATTTTTTTCGCTGCTTCAAACCCTAAGCTAGAACTCTATATCAATTAGTGCATGCTAGAGATCCCAATATAAGTCAAACAAAGGTTTAATCCCTCATTCATTCATTTCAATATCGTGCATGTAATGAGCTCAATCTGATCGATTTGGTCTAAAAAATTACTTGATTTTTGGTTGATCAAATTTTCATTAAAACCAGTGCATAATAAGCTTGCATAGGCCTAAATGAAACTTAGAAGAGGAGAATCTGATTAGTTGATCAAAATAATGGAGAAACGATCTTTCAAACTTCACTTTATTGCTTCGGAATTTGTTTTGACTTTATAAAAGTTTCTATCTTTTTTATATTATTGCTTCGGAGGCTGAGGAGGAGCTCGACGTCAACCATTCTTGGGAGGAAGAAGAAAATGATTTTTCTTTCTTATGTCTCTTCTTTACAAAAATGTCTCTAACACATTTCTTACAAAGATGTTGGAGAGTTTAAACTTTTAGTTCATGATTCTTTTCGAAACCTTTCAACTAATTCAATAGAGCGAATTCGTGACATTCACCGACATATCAGCTCATTAGTTCTCTAAATACGTTGTGGCGTTTTCATGATACCGACATTTCTAATTTAGCTTTGGTAGGGATTTAGAACTATTCTTTGGAAAGTTTGGATCTAGGTTTATGTCACAAATTTGACAAGAGTTTAGGATGTTTACTCATAAATTTGTGTCTAAAATTTGATCAAATGTGATTCTAAAATTTTGGTTGGTTTCACCGCCTAATTAGAGAAATTTCGATAGTAATCGTGTCAATGTGTTGATATAATTTTTAGATCGAAAAGTTTTGTATTACGGTAAAGGATAGTCGATTGATTTTATTAAAATTTTTTAAAAAACTTTTTGAAGGTCCAAGAGTGATTTGCTCAACCAAACAATATTGTTTCCTTTAGCTTTTTACTAACACCTTGATCATCACCATCGTTCTTACATTTCTTTAAATGTTTCAAAATTGAACTAGTAGATATTCCGACGGTGGTAAGACAACCAATTAATATTTTCCCATTTCTTTAAATGTTTTAAAATGATTACAAGTTTCACAGTTAGTTTTAGGTACTTTTTTATCTTCGCACACCTCCATTTCTTTAGGTGCATCCTTGTTTGGTAGATCATTCCCCAAAACTATTTTTTTCCTATGAATTCTCATTCATATTGGATATTTAAGAGACAAAAAGATGTTGACGAATGAAGAGACGAAGGACAAAATGGACAGTTTGGGATATAAGACACAAACCAATAATGTTCATGATCAGACCAAAGAATTGAAGGGAGGAAGACATTGTCTCACCTAGAAGGATCGAAGTCCTCTCGAAAGTTTAAAATTGAGCAAATTCTGGAACATACTGTTGTTAATTTCTCACCATCCTTAAACCTTTTGATATTTCAGAATTAGAGATATT